GTCGGGTCCGCTGGGTCTGCAGCGGTGTAAGGTGGCGTTTTTCCTCATTGTATTTCTGTCCAGACGGTGTGCCTGTGGTCGTAGTGGGGTCTGGCGTCTCCTACCTGGTAATTGCTATTCCTCCCTCTGGATCCATCAATGTTTGCTTCACACAGTCCTGCACCACAGGATGCCATTTTGGGCAAAGACAGATGGCATACGCAACGATGGCCTCCTAAGATTATAACACCGCACCTCCAGCATGCCTTCCTATGCTTAGACGTACTTAGATGCTGCTGATGGAAGAAGAGAAGTCCAGCTTTAAGGCATCTGAACCAGTTTTATTCAGAAGTCTTTCTGAGGACTCTAGACCAAGGCCTCCAGCCTGGAAGCAGCCCCTACGAGATGTCCTGCCAGCCCGGCACAGGTGCCAGCCCACTGTGGAGACGCAGGTGGCGGGTTCAGGACACACACAGTTGCGTCGAACTTGCTCAGAAGTCCCCTGAGAGCAGAATCCCATCGAGGTTCGTGTGCAGGAGGACACCAGGTTGCAGATGACAGCGGCACGATCACTAAGTCGCAGGCGGCTTTACTTTACGCGTAGGAAAGACCAGGAAGGCACTGACTGGGGTGGCAGACGGTGGGTGACGTGTGCTCTGTCCTGTGTTGCCTTCGAAGCATCTCTGGAGCGCGGCACATAGGGGCTTTGCGAAATGACGCTGGCAAGCAGACAGGAGCCAGTGAGGCTCCTGGGGTTTGCTACTTTGTCTCCGTACACACAAATAGCATTGTGCTCCAGCTGTCTACAGGATGCAGCTGTCACAGCTGCGCAGGTGTGCGGCTTGGGAGCAGCAGCGCCGCCATCCAGCCTGGTGAGGCTGGCTGAGCCGTCTAGGTGCGCGTCAGTGCACTCCACGACGCTGGAACAAGGACATTCACCTAACGATGCGTTTCTCAGGACGGACCACCGTCGGTAAGTGACACATGACTCTAGGCGGGTGCTCGGACGTTGGGTGCATACAGATGGGGCACACACCACATTTATACTCACCTCTGCAAATGCACAAACACAATGGCTTTTACATGTATGTAAATGTCAGAAACACATCCCTCTGTGCGCCCCTCCTTCCATCCGCACATGGCCGTGTCTTCTTCCCTTCTTCTCCCCCAGCCACGGTGGTGCTTCATCACTCTGCAAACATCCACCCCAGTGATAACATCATGCCCTGCTGTCTTAGTTGACATTTCGCTGCCTCTTGTGATTTTGAGCACCTTACATAACTTCCTAGACAGCTGGATTGGGTCTCCTGTGAACTGAGATTTTGCTGTCCTGTGCCCGTTTTTCCCTAACTTGTTGCTTTGTTTGTGCCACTTAGCGGCTATTCTCTGCACCTGGGAAACGGGAGCACTTCCGCCCTCTCCCCATGGCCGGTGCTCTCAAACACTCTGTCCAAAGCCGACGCGTGTCTCCCGTTTAGTTCACCATCTCCAGGGAGAGAGAAGGAAGTTCCTGACACTAGAAGGAGGCCTTGTACCTGTTTGCCATGGGAATTCCGAGTGACCTAGACAAGTCACTCTGTCCAATGAGAGACAAGTATCTCCACAAGGTATAGGAACTTAGGACAGAGAGGGGAAGGCCACGTACAGGGACACAGGGCTCCGAGACCACAGCCTTGCTAATAACACAAATACTCATGTGCGGGGTGCCACTGGAGCATTTCCCACGGGAGCTCACTAACCACCCCCCCACTCCCACCCCCTCCCTGCCTCCCTCCGTCTCACATACTTTCCTCATCAGGTGGCACACCCCAGATGTGTTCAGGCTCCTGCCTCTGGGTGGTGTGGCACTGCCCAAACTGGGCCATGTTTGCTCACCCTCCGATTCTGAGATGCTACTGTCCAGAAATTTGTGTCCCCTGAAAAATTCATGCTGAATCCTCAACTCCCATCCCCAGGTGATGGTGTTAGGAGGTGGGACCTTTGGAGGGCGATTAGGTTGTGGGGGTGGAGCCCTCACAAGTGCCATCAGAGTCACTGTAGGAGAGCTCTGAGAGACCCCCCATGCCTCTTCCACAGCGAGGCGCTATCCATGAGTCACATGCGCTCAGCACCCTCCGGGTGGCTTTCTCTCCTCTCCAGAGGAGCAGAGGGTCTGGTCATTTTCAGAGTCCCTCTGTTGCTGCTTGTTTACACATGACACATACCCGCTGAGCACCTTGACAAAGGGACCTCAGACATGAGGTCCTCAGAGGTGGCTGACGCTAGGGCACTCACACCCCCTCAAAAATCACGCAGGAACCATTAAAAGCCATTCAATACATACTTGAGAGTAGTATTTGGGGACCAATCGGAGGCGACGATTATTCACACAAAACCTGCGCTGTGTGGCCAAGACTGGGGGACGCTGCCGTGCTGGGAGCCCGCGTGCGGCTCCAGGGCTGGCAGCGGGGACGGCACACGGCGGCGGCAGGTGGGACAGACGCCCTCCTCGAGCCTTTCCCTCGCGACATGGTCCCCTCCACCCCAGAAGGCGTGTTACTGGAGATGGAGTCTGGAAACTGAGAAACTGATGTGGAGCAAGCTTTCCTGAGCCCACGAAGCCAGCGGCCAGGGAGAAACAGGGAGTGTGGAGTCCAGGGACCTTCGAGCCTGGGGCCAGCTGTCCTCCTGTGAGCCTTCCGACAAATTCCTCTCGCATGGATTTTAACACACAGTGCTTCCTCCTTCTCTCATGGAAGGGTGTTCATCAAGACCCTAGAAGGCTCCCTCGCCCTTGGCCGAATCTGCCCCATTCCAGCAGAGCTGTGCCACCTTGCTGAGGTTTAACATCTGGCTGGCACTGAGCCTGCGGTTCCCCGCCAGCTTTCTAACTGCGGCAGGGATGGGTATAGAGGTCTCTGATTAAGGCAATCAGGTATAGAAACTGAGAAAAGACGTGTGTGTCAGTGCAGGTGAACACGTATCACTGACAATGGCTGGCATTTTGCCGCGGGAGTGGGCATGGCTGGCATCAGCTGCTGTCCCACCACCTGGGCAATCACCCTTCCTCACAGCCTCACGGTGACAGCTGAGTGATGGGGAGATGAGGAAGCCAAACAGGTGGCAATGCTGGTGGCGTCATGGCGCCGAGGAAGCTGCCAGGACTGGGAAGGTGATGGGAGGCTTCCTAGAGCCCACAGTCTAAATACATGCAGAAGACACTGACATGCACACACCTGCAGACTGCTACTCACAAAGCGGCTGGGACCAGGCGAGCCCACGGAGGGGCGCTGGGGCTGGAGGTCTAGAAGAGCGTGCCAGTCTCTACTCTGCCCAAGCTCCTGTGTGGCAGCTGTCTTCTTCACCTGGGACTGTTCCTTCCTGCTGAAGACCAGAGGCTGATGTCCCCACTCACCAGTAAGGAAACAGGCCCAAAGAAACGGTTTTGGTTTTGTTTAGAGACAGGGTCTCTGGCCCAGGCTGGAGCGCAGCGGTGCAATTATAGCTACGCAATCTTTAACTCCTGGGCTGAAATGAGCCTCCTGCCTCAGCCTCCCATATAGCTAGGACTATAGGCATGTGCCACCATGCTCAGCTAATTTTTTTATTTTTTTATTTTTTTTGTATAGAGGGGGGTCTTGTTCTGTTGCCCAGGCTGGTCTCAAACTGCTGGCCTCAAGTGATCTTCCCGCCTCACCCTCCCAAAGAGATGGGATTACAGGAGTGAGCCACTGTGCCCAGCTCCCCAAAGAAAGGGACTGATTCAGCCGGACCCTCCAGAATGCAACAGCTCACCGGCCGGGGTGTTTGCTACTGGCCAGTCTGAGCTGCAGCCACAGCACTGAGCACCGTGTGTTGCAAGCCCCGTGGGACTGCAATAAACCCTACCTGAGGGGGACTGCAGGGAACCACCCGATCACCAGAATTCACCCAAATACCGAACTGCCCCACAGCTTCCTCGAGGCCTGCTTTGAGGAACCCACTTAGGAAACTAGAAAGACTCTCACGAAGGGACGGCATGGCCCAGAGGAGCCCCGCCCTCTCAGGATGCAGACGGCACGCAGCTGGCTGCCGGGAACCCTGCCACTCGCCTGCAGATACGCCACGAGCGCCTGAAACAAAGCAGCAGCCTCAGCGTGCAGCCCAGGGCAGAGCCGGAGACGGACGGTCTTCTGTCGCTGCAGCGCGCCTCTCTCCTGCCTCCCACGGGCCCCGGGCTCAGACGGCCCTCACTGCAGCGTGGGAACCATGGAGGACAGCGGGTTTGTCCCAGGCAGGCCGCAGCCAAGACCAGGAGCTCCATCAGGATGACAGGCTGAAAATCCACACACCACTCACGAGAAAACGAGGCGGAGCTGACATTCGGTTCTGCTTCAGACCTCACCTGGCCTCTGTGAGCATGCCAACGAGGTGACGTCCACCTTTCAGCAGGTTCTCAGCGGTGGGGGCAGCAGGTCCCTCATCTACTGAGGGGCTTTAACTCTGAAAATGGGAACAGCTGAAGTCCTGGGCCTGGGCATCTCCTGGTCTGAGAAATACTCTTCCCTTGGAGATGGATATGAAATAGGAACTTCGCTGTTTTACAGCCATTATCGGTTACTGAGCTGGGCCCACAGGACACAAACCCCTTCCCACGTGGGTCCCATTCTCCACTGAAATGGACCAGTGTGCACTGCTCTCGTAGAAGGCGCCTCCTGCAGAGTCACCGCCTGCTGTCCGAGCTCTTACGCCTTGGATCTGTGGGGAGCTGCCCTGACGTGGAGGCCGAGGACAGCACGAGGCCCGCTTCCCTGACAGACACACACAGTGCGAACTGGCCCAGGGACCAGAGGGGCGGCCCCGGGGGAGGTCCCCCAAGTGCTGCCAGCAGGCCCAGCTGTGCGTGGCCTCCTACTCCGGCAGACAGCGGCTGAACACATGCTGTTTGCTATCAGACAAGCGTGGTTCTCTCAGCACGCTGACACAGGCACACACAACACACATACAGAGATCTGAGGGACTGCAACATTTACCCAAAACTGCAGGAATGAGATCACTCTGCATGTGATGTTGCTTTCTTTTAATTGAAGTGAGGGCACAACCTGGTCACGTCAGAGACGAACAGCCTCGTCCAGGTGGCTGAGCACATTATTGTCTTTCTTGGTTAACCAGGTCCTCATTTCAAGGGACTTCCAGGTTCTTTAAAACCACCTGAATCGGTCCTGAGCAGCCTCATGCGAGGCTCTGCACCAAGGGCTGGGCCTGCAGCAGACGGCATCTCACTGGATGTCATCATCATCAAAGAGATCTTCAAAATCTAGGGAAATAAGCAGAACCACATATTTACACACACAAGAGTAAGCAGTGGAGAGATCACTTCAAAATGGATTCTATGGTAGTTAAAAATGCAGAGTCCACAGTCAATGATCCATGAAACAAAAGACTTTCTCATTCAGACTTTCGGTTTTATCCAACCGGGCTGGTGGATGTAGTCGGAGGGTGGAGTGTGAGTGGGACAGTCCTAAGAAAACGCAGGCAGGGCTGTCTTGGGTCCCACGGACGTCATCTCACAGCCACAGCTCAGCACTCAGGACACGCCAATGCCGCGTCTGCACCCGCACAGTGGCCCAGGTGCCGCCCTCGCTGCCGGGCTGGGGAGACACCAAGCTGGGAAGCACGTGCTGGGGCCCTGGGAGCGGAGGGAAACCTGCCGCCGCCGCCGTGAGAATGAGAAAGCCGGGCTGGGGTGCGGAAAGCCGGAGCCTCCAGTAAGGCAGTGGGAAGACAGTGAAGCCCGAAAAACACCGTGAAGGCCGCTCCCGCCGGAAGAAACGCAGCAAACACGTGTGCACTGCCCTGGGTGATCAACATCAGCGTCCCCCACCCCCAGGAAAGATTCTGTCCTTCTGTCTAGTTTTCTGCGTTTTCCAAATTTCCTTCTACAAGCAATGATTATTTTCACAATGGGAGGAGACGATAAAGCTAAAAACCCACCCACATGTACTGTACTGAAAATGTGCAGTACGAATTATGAACTAGAAAAAGGATGTTCAACTCCTGGATAGTTAGACAGAGCAACGAGGCAGGAGCCTGCTGGTACCAGCCTTCCTGGGGAGGGTGGCGTCCCTGCGGCATCTCTGGCCACCGCAGAGGGTCCGGCTCTCCCCAGCCACACTGACCTGCCCCACGTCCTCACTGCCTCCTGACTGCTGTTTGTGGCTGTCGCAGTTCCCAGCCCGGGCTGACTCCACCCCTCCCAACCTCTGCTCTGCTGTCACTCCGGAGAAACCTCCCTCTGCTGTCCTCCCGGAAACACGGCCGTCCACACATCGCCAGGGCTCTCGTCACGGTCCTGACCCTGCCTGCTGGCTTGTCCGGACTCACCGCGATTTTGTAAAACACAGCAAAGGAGAAAGTGAATCTTGTTCATGGCTAGAACCCCGGTGCCCAGCAAAACCCAACCGTCTGACGACAAAAAGGACATGGCAGAAGCCCTCTCCAAAGCCCACAGAAGTCTCTCAAAGAAACGGCTCCTTCAACACATGGGGCTGTCACAACCCGACAGGACAGTGAGTACTTTGTGAACTGAGCAGGTGGGCGGCAGGGGACAAGAGCTCTCCCGCGTTCCCCTCCTGGCCAGCCGTGGCGCGAGGAGACGCGTGCTCACACTGCTCAGGATGCCGGGCGCTCACCCCACAGGTCGGGCCTGGGTCCCTCTCAGAGATGCTTTCCCGCCAGGATTCAGGGGCTGACTCTGAAGTCACGTGAACTCAAACACTAGAACACAGTGATCGCCTCTAAACCAGTGGACTGGCAGGGGATGAATGGGGCTTTGAAAGAGATCATCAAAATGCACGCGGGTTGTGCCAGCATCAGCAACTGCCCAGTCCTGCCCAAGTGCAGAAGCTTCAAAGGCGCCTGGTGAGCTCGTGTTTTCACAAAGCAGCTCTGGGGAGCACCCCGTGGCTTCGCACAACTGGTTCCCTCTGATGGCAACACCCTTCTCCGCCCTTGCTCTGGCACAAAGAATGGAAAGAAATGCTATTCAGGTCTCCAGGCTCACCTCCAATGTCACCTGCCCCAGTTGACTCCAGCTGGTGGCAGCCGGAATGCTGCCTCAGGGGCATGACCAGGCACCCTAGGGGAGCCTGCACCCCCACTCAGCAGCCTGGCCGCTCCCCTCAGACCATGGCTGCCGACGACCTGACGAAGCAGCAGGGATGTGGGATGATGGGGGCCTCTGGTAAGATAAGAAACCAGTGTGGCAAGCTCAAGCCTAACTGTGAACTAGTAGCAGGAGCGTTTTGTGGAGGTAAGCACCATGGATGAAAACAGGATGGAAAATGCCACCTCACCCTCCGGAGTAAGAAACCTATCTTGTTTACTTACTATTTGAACCCTTAGTAAAGCTTAATATAATCCATAGGAACAGGCCTTAGGAAATCAGAAGAGAATGAGAGCAATGTCCCCTCTAGCAGGTCTGAAGATCTTACAGAAACTTTGCTTTTCACTGTTTATCTGGTTCAAGCATGTTCTGGGTGACTAGCACTGAGGCCCTGAAGTCACAAGGGAAGTGCGTCGTGGCTCCTGATTTCAGACGCACTGGGGAAGGACAGGAGCTGCAGGGTGGCTATCCCTCTGCAAGGGCAGCTGAGAGCGCCAGAACCCAGGCCGGCGAACACAGGTGGCCTGGGAGAAGAAAGGAAACCACCACCCAGAGAGGGCAGACAGGGAGACAGACCGGGTTGCCATGGCCACGTCTGGGGCAAGGGGCCAGACCCGGCTAGTCTGAGGTGTCTGCAGGCACGTGTTACCACGCTCAACCTCAATTACTGGGCTGCAGGCTGGGAACAATTTCATGCTACTTTTCTCCTGAAAAATAGTGCTGCCTGCCAGTGCGCCCAGCCCACGTCCTTCCACAGAGACTACACTGCCTTCTGAGAGTGGCGCGGGGCCTTTACTGTCTTATGATCCAAATTATTCATGTCACCAAGTTGCTTCACTGCCTCCACCTGGAGAAGAAACATTTAGATTAAACCTGGCGTCCCCATCCCAAGCATCCTTACCATTAAAAAAGTCTGCGTGAACAGCCTTTTCATTGGCTGCCAAGTCCATCAGGAGCCCGGTGCTGCCTCCCGCCTGGGGATGGAAAGGCAAGGTCACGTCAGTTGTGTTTTCTGAAAGAGTGGCCGGTGCATTGCAGTGCCCGCCACCCCCACAGAAACGGAAGAAGGGTGAAGGAAAACAGGCTCCACTTGGAGTCAACATTTTCTTTCCAGACAAAGGAATGTGTACGAGGGGAGGGGGAACAAGAGGGAGGAATTCAAAGGAATTATTTTTATGGTTTCTCAAGGGCTTCTGTTCCTTGATTCCTCCTTGCCTTTAAAAAAGAAACCTACCATTGCCCTAAGCACCACGACTTCTCTGTAACCACAGAAGTTTCTGATCCCCGCTGGACGTCGCCACAGAGGCCACAAACATGCGAAACTGAGCCCATCACCTCAGCTCAGGATCCCTTCCCGCTCCTGTCTGGAAATGGAAGCACTTCTGCGAGGAAACTGACCTGCTCTGCCTCTGAGGTCCCGGTGCCCGCTGCCATCAGAGACCGTCCACTGCCACAACTCCACGGCAGTGAAAAAACCATGTCACAACCCAAACTGGACAATCTGAAGCCCTCAGCATTTTGGATCCTGTTTAGAGTCACCGGGCGACAGAGCAGAGTCCTCTGACGGCAGCACCCTGGACAGCTGGCCCCAGGTCCTGCTGCTGCCCTGACCCGGCATTCACAAGGCCGCTTGGTCCACCGTGCCCTGGTCCCCACGTGGCTGAATGCTCCTGTTCCCTTTCACTGCTGCTCTCAGAAAAGCCAGGAAGCTCAACTTCCTCCCCTGGCATCTCAGCCTCCTCCCCGCCCCCATCACCACAGGTAGCCGAGCGCTTTCTACCACTTAAACACCGGGCTGAGCTTGTCCCTGCCAGCATCTGCCTCACTGACACCTCCTCAACTCTCGTGTTCTCCCTGCTCCCTCTCACCGCGACAGAGCAAGTGGGAGCCTCTCCCTCCCCACTGTAAAGCCCTCTGGTGGCTCCACAGGGCTTAGGGCTGTGACTTTCAAACAGGACTGAAGCTTGGGTTTACTGCAGGCGCTTGGGGAGCGGGGCGCACAGAGCCACCCTCTTCAGCGTAGTTCCAGACAGTGTCATGACCCGGCCCCGGCCCACCGCCTGCGCCCTCCCCGGCACTGCACGCTCAACCACGTTAAAGAACACGCTATTCCCTTCCCCTGGTGAGCCGGTGGGCGGCCCCCGACACCGGCCTCTGCTCCCGCCGGCCTTCATCCCCGCCTGCCTGGCAAACACCAGTGTGTCCCACCACCCGGCCAGAGTCCGCGCCTCGGCTGCGGCTTTGCTGAGCCCCTCCAAGCCCTGAGAGCGGTGCGCCCCGGCCTCCGATGACACCTGGTATCTGCGATCAGCCTCCCCGCCACGCTGCTATCTCCACAGGCACAGGGGCTGCCTCTGACCATCTCCGCACCCGCTACGTCTTGAGAAAGAGCCCACGAGGCCCTGCCACGCAGGAGCCGGCCTGCCACTCCGAGCTGGGCCGTGGCGCTCTCCTGCCGCCCACACACCATCTCAGGGAACGCTCGCATCAGACGAGGCCACGCTGCGCCCACGACCGACCGCCGCGCAGAGCACACCATGCCGGACGTGCCCTTTCCGCTCCGACAGGAACGGCGGCTACGAGCGGCTTCTCGACCCAGTCGGCGCCCGGGCCCGGCTCAGCCCTGCCGCACTCCGGTCAGACGGGGAGGCCCGGTCGGAGAACCACCGTCGCTCCCGGGCGGCACCACGGCCCGGCGAGGCCCGCTTCCTTCCCAAACCGCACACGAGGGGCGCCCCGCGGGCCCCGTGGGTGCTGCCGCCACCGAGGAGCCGAGAACGCAACTCCTGGGACCACAGGGTGCTGCCCGGGGCCCTGGGGCACCCAGCGGGCACTCGGCCCTCCGGCCGCCGCCTGACCCCGGTGCTCGCAGAAGCCGGGACCCGCGCTCCGCGGGGCCGGGGGCCTCGGAGCCGCGCCATCGCCCGCCCGCCCGCCCGACCTCCCTTCCCCGCTCCCCGCGCTCGAAGACGCCCGCCCGGCCCGCGACACCTCGTCCAGGTCCACGTAGGGCCCGGCGCCCTCGGGGAACATCTCGTCCACCGCCGGCTTCATCGCGGGCCCGCGGCGCTCTGGGCTCACTTCCGGCCGCGGGGCCGCTTCCGGCGCGCGCCACGCGGCAGGTCTAGACGCCGGAGGACCGCGCCTCTGTGGTGCCCGCCCGCGCGCATTGCCGTCCGCGGTCTCGCGTCCCGGGTGCTCGGGGCCACTGGCGCGCGCGCGGCCTCCGGCGTCCGTCTCTGCCCTGCCGAGGGCGGCGTCTGCAGCACCTCGGACGGGCGGCCGCGGAGAGAAGAGGCCGCCGGCCGCGGGAGCAGCGCCCGCAGAGCAGGCCTCAGCCACGCAGCCGGAGCCAGAATAAACAGGGAGGCAGGCTCCGCCGCAGAGACGGCCGGGGTCACAGGAGTCACGGGGACCACAGGAGTCACGGGGGTCACAGGAGTCACGGGGACCACAGGAGGCACGGGGACCACAGGAGTCACGGGGGTCACAGGAGTCACGGGGACCACAGGAGGCACGGGGACCACAGGAGTCACGGGGGTCACAGGAGGCACGGGGGTCACAGGAGTCACGGGGGTCACAGGAGTCACGGGGACCACAGGAGGCACGGGGACCACAGGAGTCACGGGGGTCACAGGAGTCATGGGGGTCACAGGGGCCACAGCAGTCACGGGGGTCACAGGAGTCACGGGGACCACAGGAGGCACGGGGGTCACAGGAGTCACGGGGGTCACAGGAGTCACGGGGACCACAGGAGGCACGGGGACCACAGGAGTCACGGGGGTCACAGGAGTCATGGGGGTCACAGGGGCCACAGCAGTCACGGGGGTCACAGGAGTCATGGGGGTCACAGGGGCCACAGCAGTCACGGAGGTCACAGGAGTCACGGGGACCACAGGAGGCACGGGGGTCACAGGAGTCACGGGGGTCACAGGAGTCACGGGGACCACAGGAGGCACGGGGACCACAGGAGTCACGGGGGTCACAGGAGTCATGGGGGTCACAGGGGCCACAGCAGTCACGGGGGTCACAGGAGTCACGGGGGTCACAGGGGCCACAGCAGTCACGGGGGTCACAGGAGGCACGGGGACCACAGGAGGCACGGGGGTCACAGGAGTCACGGGGGTCACAGGAGTCACAGGGACCACAGGAGGCACGGGGGCCACAGGAGGCATGGGGGTCACAGGAGTCACGGGGACCACAGGAGTCACGGGGGTCACAGGAGTCACGGGGACCACAGGAGGCACGGGGACCACAGGAGTCACGGGGGTCACAGGAGTCACGGGGACCACAGGAGGCACGGGGACCACAGGAGTCACGGGGGTCACAGGAGGCACGGGGGTCACAGGAGTCACGGGGGTCACAGGAGTCACGGGGACCACAGGAGGCACGGGGACCACAGGAGTCACGGGGGTCACAGGAGTCATGGGGGTCACAGGGGCCACAGCAGTCACGGGGGTCACAGGAGTCACGGGGACCACAGGAGGCACGGGGGTCACAGGAGTCACGGGGGTCACAGGAGTCACGGGGACCACAGGAGGCACGGGGACCACAGGAGTCACGGGGGTCACAGGAGTCATGGGGGTCACAGGGGCCACAGCAGTCACGGGGGTCACAGGAGTCATGGGGGTCACAGGGGCCACAGCAGTCACGGGGGTCACAGGAGGCACGGGGACCACAGGAGTCACGGGGGTCACAGGAGTCACCGGGGTCACAGGAGTCACGGGGACCACAGGAGTCACGGGGGTCACAGGAGTCACGGGGTCACAGGAGTCACGGGGACCACAGGAGTCACGGGGGTCACAGGAGTCACGGGGGTCACAGGAGTCACGGGGACCACAGGAGGCACGGGGACCACAGGAGTCACGGGGGTCACAGGAGTCACGGGGACCACAGGAGTCACGGGGACCACAGGAGGCACGGGGGTCACAGGAGTCACGGGGGTCACAGGAGTCACGGGGACCACAGGAGGCACGGGGACCACAGGAGTCACGGGGGTCACAGGAGTCATGGGGGTCACAGGGGCCACAGCAGTCACGGGGGTCACAGGAGTCACGGGGACCACAGGAGGCACGGGGGTCACAGGAGTCACGGGGGTCACAGGAGTCACGGGGACCACAGGAGGCACGGGGACCACAGGAGTCACGGGGGTCACAGGAGTCATGGGGGTCACAGGGGCCACAGCAGTCACGGGGGTCACAGGAGTCATGGGGGTCACAGGGGCCACAGCAGTCACGGGGGTCACAGGAGGCACGGGGACCACAGGAGTCACGGGGGTCACAGGAGTCACCGGGGTCACAGGAGTCACGGGGACCACAGGAGTCACGGGGGTCACAGGAGTCACGGGGTCACAGGAGTCACGGGGACCACAGGAGTCACGGGGGTCACAGGAGTCACGGGGGTCACAGGAGGCACGGGGGTCACGGAGGCCACGGGGGCCAAGGGCTGCGCCTTCGGACGTGCGTCTGGAGAAGACACCCACCTGGCCAGTGCGCAGACGAGCAGCCGCGATGCAAACCAAGCCCCCTGAGGGGCCGCTGCGCGTCGGGGGCGGGAGGTGCAGCCGGGCGGCCCCGAACCCGCAGCCCGGGCGCCCGCGTGGCCCAGCACTCGCTTCCGGGCGCAGGCCCAGAGGGCGGAAAGCAGAGGCTCCCAGAGGCGTCCGGACCCCACGTGCACAGCAGCGTTATTTCTAATCAGTGGAAGAGGGGCCGCGGCCGCCCGCTGTGGGTGAGCGCGAACGTGGCCCGCGCGCCCCGGGGGCACTACGCCGCCTTTAGAAAGAGGGGAGCGCCCACCCCTGCCGCCACGCACGTGGACGTGGGGGACGCGGCGCCGGTGAATGAACCACTGCCGACCACGCTGCGCGATTCCGCCCCGCAGAGGCCCCTCCGGGAGTCAGGGCCGGGGAGACAGAGGCGTAGAGGCGGGCGTCGGGGTCCGGGGAGGGGAGACGCGGGGTCTGTGCTTAGTGGGGACGGAGTTTCAGCCTTGACAGATGAAAACGGTCTGCAGAGGGAGGTGGTGATGGCCGCACAGCCCCGCGAAGGTGCTTAACGCCGCTCAAACATGGTTAAGATGGAAACAATTCGTGAAGTTTTACCATAATTTTAAAAAAGACTGTGAATGAGAGAAATGGGAGGAAAAGCAGAAGGAAGGGGAAAGAGGAGGGACACGCTGGAGGGAGGGGGGGAGAGGGCAGCGGGTGCTCCCACGAGACTTTGTCAGAGATTCTTTGCTCAGCCGGACTCCGGACTCCGGTGGCCCCAGAACCGCCTCCCAGGCCCATCTGTGCACGTCGTTGTCGGTTCCGTTTCCGCAGAGAGCCCTGCTAGGTGGGTTCAGTCAGTCCCCACCCTGGATATGGGATCCGGCTCCTGGCCCCGCAGCACCCCAGGGGGATATCTGATCACCCAGGCCTGTCTTCGGCGAGAGCCCTGCGGGGTCGGTAGTCCAGGCCAGCATCCCCCTACTGCACTGGGTTCGTCCCGGTGATTTCCCATCCCCGACCCCACCTGCTGCTCAGCCGCAAACCCCCTCTGCCTGTGCTGTTCTGAGTTGAGCCCGGTCCCCCTCCCCTACTGCAAGACCCCGTGGCAGTGGTCCCCACACCCATCTCCAGGGTTCAGAATAACTTCTGAAAGTTTCCAATAATGTTTTCTTCAACGGGTCTGAAAGGCGGTGGGGCTGGGGGTTAGATTGTAGAGAACAGGAGGGGCCAGCACGGGGGTTCCAGGGACAGGGATGGTTGAGCTGAGTTGTGCGAGGGAGGGTGGCCCGGGAAGGGGCTGCCCGGTCTGAGTGGACATTTTGGGGTGTGGGGAGAAGCAGGAGTGGACATCGGGTGAGGCTCGTGCCTGCCAGTGTGCGCCTCCCTGAAGGACCCAGGTGAAAGCCAGTCGGGTGGAACCGGGACTGGGCAGTGGCCAGCAGGAGTGACCAGTAAGTGGAGGTCTTTACTAGCGAAGGGGTGGGGCCGTGGGTCTCCGGGGTCCGCTTGTACACCCTGCAGGGATGGGGGGCTCACCACCTGCGCAGAGGCCATCCCATTGCTGGTGGCGCATCCCTGAGACGCCATCCTTGCTGCCTGCCCAGCCTTCCAGTGCCCCAGGGTGCCCAGGTGACGCCCCTTCCAGCATCCTTAAAGCCTTGCCGCTGCCCCTGACGATGACAGATACAGGTGGAGCCTCTCACTTCTGTGTTTCCTGCTGCCTCCTGGGCACTCCTCGCAGGGCGCGTTGTGGTGTGGGTTCACCTGCTGCCCAGCTTAGTGGCCTGGAGCAAGGGTGCCTGGAACTGGAGTCTGGCTCCCCTCTAACCAGCTGTGTGACCTTCACAAGTCAGGCAGTGACTGGAGGTCTCTGCCTCAGCTTCCTCACCTGTAATCTGGGGGAACTGCAGCACCCTTCAGGGTCCCTGTGGGAAATGGATGAGACCCAGAAAGCCAGTCCTGGGTCTTGAGCCTGCTGAAGATATAAGATCCCTGGTGTGGACGGAAATAGTGCACGCATTTACAAGAGTTCATGAAAGTGCTCCCTGGGAACCCAAATAAGGCCAGCTTCGTTTGTGAAGTCAAGTAAACGGGAACTGAGCGCAGCTGTCCTGGAAAGAAAACCCGCAATGCTGGCTGTGCGTCCTCAGTCCGGAGTTTATTGAGAACAGGCCTGACCCCCCGCCGGAGCCAGAGCTTTACGGGGACTCCATGCCTGCGGAGGCCTGACCTACGGCAGCCTGGCGGGGCGGGCGGGCACCAGGCTGGACACCAGTCAGTCCTCCTGATAGGGGACGTGGAAGCCCAGGGTGCTCCCCAGGGGGAAGTGCGCGAAGAAGGTGCGTGCCATGTCCTCGATCTGGGGGTAAGCCCCCAGGGCCTGGAAGTGCTGCACGTAGTTCCAGAAGTCAGAGGTGGAGAAAGGCCAGTAGGGCATGGGCGGCAGCTCCGCGTAGGGCTCTGAAAGACACATGACACCTGCCTCGGGGGCTGTCCCCGTGGCCCTGCCTGGAGACATCGTCCTTGGAGGCCTCAAGGCAGGTGATGGTGCCCAGCTGTGCCCACAGTGATATGACATTCCCAGAGTGGGGGCCCGTCCCCTCGCAGCAGTGGGGTGGTGACCTGGGTCCTTGGGACGCCTGGTCTGGGAGATGGAGGAAGAGGAAGAAGGGGAAGGGTGGGGAGGCCTGTCTTGTTTGAGGAGGGGGTCGCGTGGGGAGGGCGTGGGGCACCGTCAGCAACCTGGTGGGATTTCAGAGGGAAGCACAGACGCTTGCCTCTGCCTCCCCGGACACAGGCTGTCCTAGAGCCCAGCCAAGGGCGGCCCTGAAGATACGGGACTGACTCGGGGCTCAGGGCTGGGAGGGCCTGGGGGCTGGAGCCCAGGATGAGGGTGGGAATGTCAGAGGGTCAGGGGGCCCCAGCTCCCCTGCCCAGTGTGTTCCCAGGTGGCTGGAGGGCAGGGTGCCCGCTGGAAGACCCTCTGCTCGCACAGCTCCAGGCTGGCTCTCCGGGGCGTGTTTTCCACGCTCAGGCCCGAGCTGAGCCAGGGCTCTTGATGCGCCTGCCCGGGGTAAGAAGCCTCTTGCTCTCCCAAGCAGTCTCTCCCCGCGCACGCCAATTACTCATGCAAATGAAAGGAAAGACATTGGAGAAGTTACCTCCTTCCTCCTGCACAGGCTTGGTCCCTGCAAAGGAAGAAGAGCTGTCACCCAAGAGGAGCCCCCAAGTGCCGGCTGGGCCCACCCCACCCCATCTGCAGGGCTCGGGGGTTTTGCAGCGGCCCGGCAGGAGGGGAGAGAACCGGAGGGCTGTCCGGGGTGGGTCCAGGTGGCTGGGTCCCTCCAGAGCGGCCCCTCACCTGCGAGAGGCCCCAGCAGCAGGCAGAGTGCCAGCCCCAGCGCCACACGGGCCCGCATCTTCCCAGCGCTTCCTGCTCTGCGACGCAGCCCACCTGCGGCAGGAGGAACCCAGGAGGGGCGAGACCACCCGGCTTCCTCCACCAGCCCCGGTACAGGCGGCCCTGGCGAAAATGGCAATGGATAAAAAAATAATCTTACTGTTTTCCTAGCAGTTTCAGTTTCTGTGGTTTCAAACCACTATTTGGAGATGAACTCCCTGCCTCAGTTGGCCTTAATTTCCACGACTTAAGAAATTGCCCCCCCATCCCCCACCCCGCCTGGCCTCTGCGGAGCTCACCTCGTCTATCCGCTCAGCGGCCGTGCTGCCTGCTCAGGGGTCCTCTTTATAGAAGGACTGGGGATGAGGAAGGACACGTCACCTGCCCGAACAATCACACTGAGTATTTCATCCCCAGTGGGACTGTGGGCCTCTGCCACCCTGCTGGCAGGCAGATCAGAGCGCCAGCTTCTGGGAATCTGATCCAAAGATCAAATCAAGAGAAAAACATCTTGGCTAGGCCGTTTCTGTAATTGTTAGGACTGAATTCAGCATTGGCACTTGAAACAAAGCCAGCTTCCTCTCCACAAGGAGAGAACCTTCATCCAATATCAGGGCTGGCTGAGGTTTCCTCTCTCATGAGAAGGAGCTGAATAATTCCAGCACTGCCCCTGCTTAGAGCCACAGGCAGGAAGAGCCCCAGGTCAGGGGGACCTGCCTGCGGGACGTCCATTGAGCAGAGCCTGGGGTCAAGATGGACTTCCGTCTCCAGGTGGAAGCTCCTCTGCCATCCAAAGCATCAGCCTGCAGCTGGGCAGGAGGCTGTCCCCACCCCGGGACACCAGCAACTGGCACCAGGGGTCTCTGCGGGTCAGGCCACTCTGACTACACAGCAGCCCCACTGACCACGTGGGTCCCGGAGCTCACCTGTCTCTCCTCCTGGTCCCACCCTGTGGGGTCCCACCACCCCACTGAATTCCGGGGGCAAATGTGGTGTGGCAGCTTCCTCTGTCATTCCTGGTCACCCTGGGGGCTCCACCCTAGGGAAGCTCCTCACCCACGTGTCCCTCGGTTCTGGAATTCAGGGTCCCCAGCATTATCACATGCTGCCCACATATCCCACAAATGATTAAGGACTCATTTTCTTCCCAAACAATGCCATACATTTAACCAAAGATACCCAGAGAAGTGGTTAATTTAATTCAGACTGTAAGGCAGCTGCCCGCAGACTCGACTTTGAGTTTCATTTTCAGAAATCTGGAGCCTGTGGCTGCAGGAGGTAATGGACTCTTTCAGGACAGTTATGCTGGGAGGTTTCAGATGCCCCAGGAGGACTCGGGGCTCAGCATGCTCTCCCTCGGAGCCCACGGGAGGCACCCACTCCCCAGCGATGGTCCTCAAACTGTAAAAATGGCCCAGGGATCCTGTTAAAATGCAGCTTTTATTCACCAGGGGGTCTGGGACTCTGATCCCTGACCGGCTCCCGGGAGCTGCAATGTTGCTGGTCCCCAGCACACTTTGGGCAGAGGCAGGGGCAGCGGTCTCAGCCTGAGGGGGTTAGAATCCCCTGGGGGCCTGGCCTCGGAGTCCCTGGAGTGCTTGATAAGATGCAGGTCTCTGGCCCCCCTCCCACTCAGAGTTCTGATTCAAGGCGTGGGGGCCTGGGAATCTGCATTTCTAACACGTCTCTAGGTGGCCCTGGGCACGTCCAGGGCCGCCATCTCAAGCAGTGGCTCTTAACCCTGGCGCCACATTGAGGCCACCTGGGAGCTTCTGAAGAGTCGGGATTTCCAGCCCCTGAAGGTGAGATTCTGATTCAGTGGGTCCAGGTCTCCGCGGTTCTGAAATCTCTCCCGGTGACTCTGCAGGGTCCCTGCTCCCCGACCCCGGCCCCTGCCCCGCACAGTCCTACCCATCGTGGATGCATCGGGGGCCTCTGGAAGTCTCACGGGGCGGAGTGAGACGAGGCTGCCACACACACGTGGCCTTGGTGGGTCCCGGGCCAACCAGGCAGCCGCCAGGCGGTCAGGCGGTCTCTGCTGCCCCCTGCTGTCCATTTTGGGAACACCAAGCCTGGGCTAGGCGCGGATGTCACGGGGGCAGGGGTGCCCAGGCCTGTGCCCAGCCCGCCTCTGTTTCCTGGAGGAACAGACCAGGCACAGACACTTGTTCATGCTTTGAAGTCCTAAAGCCACGGTCTCCCCGGACGTGGGCTGCGGAGGGCTGTGCCTCCTGCCTGCTCCTCCCTGTCCCCTGGTCTTGGTCTTCACGGAGTGCCACAGCTGGGGCGTTTATAAAAGACAGGGTTTGTCCAGCTCACGCTTCTGGAGGCTGCGGAGTCCCAGACCAGGCAGCCACCCCGGGGCAGGGGGCTCGTGCTGCTCCACAGCACGGCTGGGAGTTGAAGGGCCCCGGGCGAGGGGGAGCGTTGCTTGCTTCATAACAGCTGCACTCCCAGGAGGGTCGACCCACTCGTGACAGGAAGCAGCAACCCCTCCTCACCCACAAATCCCTCCCGAAGGCCCCATCACGACACCACCATGATGATAACCAGATTTTGATGAGTGTCTGCAGCAGACAGACCTTATTCAAACCACCCTCCTCCCCTCAGCTGCCCACGAGGCTTCCGTGAGCTACTGGAAAGTCCAGGCTGCTCACGCATCTGGGCTCAGAGCCTGGGCTCTGTCCTCGGACTCGCTCCCAGGTCCCCTCTCGCCATCAGGGCTGAGGAACGTGCCCTTGCTTCGGTGCTAGGGCCCTTCCCAGTGCCTGGAGCCTGCCCTCCTCTCCCAGAGCCCAGGACCCTCAGCCAACCTCCTTGGCAGCCCACCCTACCCCTATCCCCCTGGCCCATGTCCTCTGTCCGAGGAGGGGACGAAGCCTCCTTGCAGCCCGCCCCACCCCGTGCCCCTGGCTTGTGTCCTCCATGCCCTCGGTCTCAGCAGGGGCCTTGGCCTCCTGCCTGGCTGTGCCCGCCTGCTTCCTCTCCAAGCCTGGGTTAGTGCCTGGTCCGGGTCCACCCAACCAGTCCGTGCCAGCGCCTCCGTGTCCTGCAGGCCAGCCACCCCGCTGTCCTCGCTGAGCCACAGGGAACATGCCCTCCCCACACTCACTTTGCCCACTCGCTTCTCAGCTGCTGCCTTCTGCCCCCTCCATAAACCCGAGGACAAAGCCCAGGTACCAAGGAGTGAGGGTGAGGGTGCCCTCCGAAGTGTCCTGTGCCAGTCCCACCCCACCAGTGACGACTGTCCTCGTTATTTTAATAAAATAGCTAAATGTCTTGAATTCTAGTGAACTTGAAAAGAAAGAGCTTTTTTGGATTAAAACTAAGCTGGCTTGGAAAGGGCTGCTTACAACGAAAAGCACTAAAAACTGTCACATTAGCTATGGGGGTGACAGCTTTGAAAGATCAGAACCGAAACCGTGAAAACCCAGCCTGACCTGACGGGATTGCAGATCATGGGGTGTTGGAAGGATCTTCTCAGGAAACAAAGCTGGGGGTGGTGGGATTTCAGAGGTGTGCTCCCGGGGCGCTGTTCTCAACGGAGTCCGCACAGCGGGGCCTCCTGGGGGACCACGTGGGCCGGGAGATGGTCAGAGCAAAGCTGCCCCACCATGTCACAAGACTGTCCTGTAAGTGTGGCAGGTTTGAAAGCTAAATTGTTTAAGGCCCATTTGAGTCTTATGTTAAAGAAAGATACAATTCCTTCCTTTAAGCGACCCGGAATTTCTGGCCCGGCCCCAGTGCAGGCTGTGAGAGGCTTCTCCTGAGACAGGGGATCCTGACCTGGGGCCGAGTGGGGGTGGGGCTGGGGGACCCCTGGGGACCCTAGCTGTCCTGAAAAATACAGGATGCCATGTTAGATGTAAGTTTCAAATAATCAATGAACACTTTTTTTAGTATAAGTGTGTCCCAGATATTGCCAGGGGCATACTTCTGACAAGTGCCCTTGTCTAACTGAAATTCCGATTTTACCTGTTTTTCGTTTCTCTTTTTTTGTGTGAAATCTGGCAACCCTGTGCAGGACAGAACCTTGTGGCCCCGCCTGGCCGCTGGCTCCATGCCCAGGTCCAGCCGGAAGCCAGGCTTTGAGCACAGGCTGCTGGGGAGAAGGGACTCCAGGCTCCCCGTGCCCACGAGGGTCTTTTCTGAGATGCTTCCCCCTGGAACTGGAGCGTTACGGTCACTGCACGAGGTGAGAAGATGGGCTGCAGCCTGAACCTCCCTGTCAGCTGAACCCCCTGGCCCAGGACTCCCAGGGACTCTCGGCTGTCTGGAGCCGGCCTGAGCTGGGTTTGTCACAGAGAGAAGTGGACAGAGCCAGAAAGGCAGGCAGGCCACACTGCTCAGAGCCTCCCTCTTTCGGGCCTGGAGCCAAGGATGGGGACACCGGGTGGGGGAGCCCCAGCGGCCCATGACTCAGGGGGAGAAGCACCCACTTTCCACGTGGGCTGTGACAGGTGCCTGCATCCTGTGACACAGGACCCGAGGGCTGGCGCTTCTTGGTGGAAACAGCACCTGGGGGGCCAGCCAGGGCCTCGGCGCCTTGGTGGTGAGGCAGGAATGATCCCCTAGGCACGGGGCTGGGCGGGGGTGGCCTGGCCGGGCTGCACTGGAGGAACGAGCCCCGGGAACCAGAGAGTCCCTCGGCCCCACACCCTCAGAGCAACAGAAGGTGAGGTGCTCCCGCTCCTCCGCCCCTTTCCAGAGGACTCCGAGCCTCCAACGGCCACACGCGGCACACGTCGGCATTCAGCCAGTGTTGTCTTAGCCTGAAGAATGTGTGTGTGTGCAGTGTGTGTGTGTATACATATGCATGCATGTGCATGTTCCTGTGTGGCGTGGTGTGTGGGTGTGGCATGCGCATGAGTCCATGCCTGTGTATTGTGTGTGTATGGGGCCCTGCATGTGTGTGCTGTGTGCTGTGTGTGTGGGGGGGTTGTGGGGTGTGTGTGTGTGTGTGTGTGTGTGTGTGCATGCCTGTGTGCTGTGTCCATGTGCATATGTGTGTATGGGTGTGGGTGGTGTGCGAATGTGTGCATGTGTGTGAATGTGTGTGCTGTGTGCTATGTGGTGGTGTGTGAATGTGTGTGCCTTGTGTGTGGTGTGTGTGTGGGAT